TTTATTTATTCTCTCCATATTGTCCCCCAGTGGCACATCGGTATGTCTGCGGATTTACAAGACTAGAAACCGGATTTCGATACCTGTGGTGTTGGGAAGAGCACAGAAAGCCCATCGTGTAGCTTCGTCCTTAACTCCAAACAAACTCTCCACAGTATTATACACTTTTTTTCTTATTTAGTGTCAAACCGATTTCTTGTCTTAGTACAGTTATGCATAAGCCTCTTATTTACCGCAAATTTAGCATGGTTCCTGGTTGTAATCAGTAAGAAAATACTTTTGGAGTCTCAGTAATTCGCGAAGAAATGATATAACCTTTTTTCCTATCTTTATCTGTTACATGTAATAGGAAATCTTTATTGCTAAGATGATCACAAAAAACAAGTTTGTAGGATATCATTATGATAAGCTCTGGTTTTGTTTTCGAAACAGTATTTTGCATAGTGAAACTACAATTTGGCATCTCCTAACGGTTTGATAGAATAGCGAGAGAGTTTAAAAACGAATGAATGAAAACGACATAAAACATATTCCATTCTAGTTCTGTGCATTGTTTTCTGAATACTAGAATCAAGTTGCACTCACCTACAGATACCTACAGTGTATGTGTTTAAGTTATCATAACTTGACTTCAGCTGTTCCCTTTCAGTCCTCAAATACATGTGCGCGCCACACACTCTCTTAACACTTCAGTTGAAAATAAGTGATAGAATATGATGTCTTGAACAAATCAGTTAGTATCATTTTGCATCTTATTTACACTTTACAAGCATTCTCATTAAAAGAAAAGTTTAAAATTCGGACACAATTAGAAAGTTCACGCCATGTTCGGTTATTTATACTACTCGTATAAGCGGAACCCACTCATGGATATTTGATTAATCTTTATTTTTCGTTACTTACAGGTGATATATTGTTGCATAAAAGTTTTTCCCTCAGACAATAACCCCTCTCCAAAAAATTCATATTTTGATTTTATATGATGCTGGCCGGAAGTGACCTTCCACTCTCAGGCTTGGTTCGTACTTTAGACTTTGACATATATTCTGGTTTTAGGCTATGGTATCTGACAATGTGTGACAGTTCGGAATTGCATCGTTCGTACTCTTGTTGCAACGTGCGTCGTTTTTAAAAAGATATGACCTTACAGTGTCGGAGGATATTGAAAAATTTCAACATTTGTGACAAAATTGCTCAGTCAAGGCGACTGCGATTGTAAGCGTACCTTGTAATGGAAAGAACAAAAATAAACAAACAAAATTGTATTGGGCAATCTTTATACTTGACTGAAGTACAGTATTTAACTGTGCCAGAATTATGAACTAGTGCTTAAAGTAACACGGATATTATAAGTAGAAATTTGAGAAAAGTCTAGCCCAATGACCGAATAAGAAAATTATACACTAGTTAGCCCATAGTCTAAAAGTCATTTTATGATCTGCATTGAAAAACATGAATTAGAAATAGATATTAGATCTTACATCATCGTTTCGCAAGTGGTACTGGTGTATGTAAGGCTTCATACATATTCTTTTATTATACATGTAAACATTTATAGACCGCCAGCCCTTATAAAGAAGGCAGAATTGAATTGGTAAGCGATTAAATCATATACTAATTTCGAAACACATGATAACCTAAAATATTATTATTTATAAAATACGTTTTGTTTGTAATTAAGCACAAAGCTACACAATGTGTGCTCTGCCCACCATGGGTATCGAAACCTGGTTTCTAGTGTTGCAAACCCGCAGACATACAGCTGTGCTACTGGGGGGGGGGGGTTATAAAATAAGCAAAAATAACACATGGTATAAACGTGGAATATGCAAACATATTTCCAAGCAAAATGAATTGACATATCAATCACATAAAAACCTGGAAATTAAAACCAAATAATGTATGTATATATGTCTATTCATCTAAGTACCAGAGTGGAGGAGTAACGATTCAGAACAAAAATGATGCTAAAGAAAATGATAAAAAGATTCCATAAACCGATACATCATCCTGATCTCTCATCTATAGTCTACAGTGTAGATTTGCTTCTCCATTATTCTGAGTTTTGTAAAACCCTAAAACCCGACTGATTCACAGTGTAGAATTCCTTCTCCGTTATTTTGGGTTTTGTAAACTGATAAAGTGGATCTGGTAAAACCAAAACAAATCTCAAATCTGAAGGCTTATAACGCTAAAAACATAGTTTCGATATCCGTGGTGAGAAGAGCACAGATAGCGCATTGTGTAGCTTTTTTTTCTCAACAAACAAAAAACCTCGTAGAATCAAAGCTCTGTGATACCCAAAAAGGACACCAAAATAATTTTGTTAAAACAGAGAGAGGTTATTTCGTTATAGTGGTGGATCGTACTGATTATGTCATTAAAATAAACCAAATCTACCATGACACGACCAACTTCATCTTCTTGAACACAATTCCAACACCTACCTTGTTATTGAAGTTAAAAAGAAAAAAATTGGATCTTCTTTTTAAAAGAAGTGTGCAACTTTCCCAAACTATCTGATTCACGTACCCACAAACTTATGTTCTCCTCAAAGTTAATAAATGTGGTTTCCTTCTTCAACCCATTGTATTTGCAAAATTGAGCCCTTAGTTTCAACTTAGGAAAATATACAGCTTATGTCAGCTATGTCTCATCATTTATCATAATTAAGAAGAATTTGTCATAAGGCTAAAACACTCGCTGCTATCGCCAGTTTCGATGTGAAAAGCTCATTCACACAAGTACCTGTTTCTGAATCAATGACTTGTTTCCTTGATAGTTTCAAGAACGATCCTTCCCTTAGATCTTACATCTTTTGAAATTCTTGCAACATCTTTTAGTAAGGCCTCACTTATGACCAGACTGAAAGATTAAGTCTGGAGAATCTCATTGTTCCCATTCTTGCCAACATATTTATGATTAAAATGGAAGATCAAGCTTCTTTACCTACCACTTTTTCTGGGTAAGATATGTTTATGATATATATATATATATACTGGTTTCCACAATTCTTCATCCATCGAAG